TTTCAATTCCCAGTAATCTGTATTTGAAGACCCAAATTTATGGTTCCCTTTAAATATCTGAGAACCCTGTTTACACCCATCCAATGTAACTTTGTAGGTGCAGCAGTAAAATGACTCAAAATGCTTACTGTGCAAGCTATGTCTGGTCTGGACCACTGTGATAGATATAACAAACTCCCTATTGCTGAGTGATATATCTCTTGATCATAGGTTTCACCTTTGTCCGCACTTAAACTATTATAAAAATCTGTACTCATGGGTGTGGGAGCAGTATTGCAATCTTTCATATTATATTTTTCCAATAACTGCTCAATTTTTCTCCTTTGACTGAGAATATAACCACCTTTTTCATTTTTCTGTATCTCTACACCGAGATATTTTTTTATTTCTCCTAAATTCTTTAATTCGAATTTCTTTCCTAATTTATCAGCAAATTCCTTGACTTGTGATGCACCCTTTGCAATGAAGCAAAGATCATCCACAAATGATAACAGTAGACAATTCCCTCCTTTTAACTGTCCAGTATATATACAATTATCAGCTTTGCAACTTTTAAATCCATACCCTTTAAAGCAGTATCTAAACAGATATTCCAGTTTCTGGCTGACTGCTTCAGCCCATAAATAGCCTTGTTTAATTGATACAACATGTTAGGTTTTGCAATTTCATATCCTGGTGCTTGGATCATATAATTTTTTCCTCTAACTTAGCATTGAAGAATGCAGTTGTGATATCAAAGTGCCAGATTTTATGCTTATATGCCGCTGCCAACACCAATGCTAATCTTATACTCTCACTTTTTACAGTTGGCGCAAATACTTCATCATAGTGCACATTCTTTAATTGTGAAAAACCTTGTGCCACTAACCTGGCCTTATACTGTACATCATTATTTGGCAATACCTTTTTTCTTATATACCCACTTACAACCCACAGCTTTGGTTCCCTATGGCAAAGTCACTGATTTAAATACTTCATGGTCTCCCATGGATTTCATCTCTTTATTCATGGCCTCCTTCCATCTTTCTTGTTCAGCTTTTGGTAATGCCAATACCTTTTTATAACTTCTTAGCTCATACCACACATTGCAAATCTTTACCTTGCTGGCAGAATACCTGTCAGGTGGAATTACTTTGTTACATCGCTCTGACCTACATGGTATTAACTGCTCCTGTGTCTCAAGTCTATCTGGCTTCATGTCTTATTCAGCCTCTCCTCCCTGAACATTGACATCTTCAATAATCAGTTTTTCCATCATTAGATGAGTTATTGTCATTAAATAGATCACTGTCATTAAGTGAGACATAACCAGAATTTGCATTAATTCTGTCCCAATTTTGTTCTGCAAAATTAGCAGACCTTGAAATTACAATTCTTTTACTTCTATCGCTAAAGCGATATCCTTTTGACCCTAGCTCATAGCCCATAAACCTGAGCTTTCTTGCCTTTTGCTGTCCCTTTCTTCTGATTGCTTTTGGATATGTACCCATGCAGTACTTCCAAAAATTCTCAAATGTGCCAGTGATGACTTTCTCCCATATAGAATGGCATATGGAGTATTATTAATGGAGGAACTCCACAGCCTGTTAACTATATAATTGGCAGTCAATATGGCTTCTCCCCAATATGACCTGCTCATACCAGAATCCTCTAATAATGAATTGTTTGCAAAACACCATTCCTTCTTTCAGCTACACTGTTCTCTGCTGCTGTGTAAGGATTTGTATGTCTGTGTCTTATCCCCAACTGCCCCAACCATTGTTGGAATTTAGTTGACATAAATTCAATACCTCTGTTAGTTTCCAACTGACACACTTGTTGTCTGTACCTTCTCTCTACAAAACTTACCCACTGTTTGAATTGTTGTGGCACCTCTGTCTTTCCTCTAAGCAAGTAGCAAAAACTATACCTGCTATAATCATCAAGAATTACCAGTGCATATTTTGCTCCTTCCAAACTGGCTTGCATAAGTCCCACCAGATCTGCATGGACCAGCTCTAGAGCCCTTTTTGTTTATCTTGTGCTATATTTACTAACTAGGAATGCCTCTGACTTCGATGCTTTGCATACTGCACAATCCAAATATGTTTTGCATCCCTTCAAATTTAGCCCTTCTGTAAACTCTTGCATTTGCTGCAAAACTTTAAAGCTTGCATGGCCAAGTCTTCTATGCAGAAGATGAACACATGAATCATGCTCTGCAACATTCTTAAATAGATGGGAACATTGAACCTTTTGTCCCTGCAATACATATAGATTATCTTCCTTTATGCCTTCTGCACAAATATTTCCATTCCTTTTGATGAGACACTTCCCATTTACAAAAATGGTCCCAAAACCTTGTTTGTCTAAATTAGACACACTTAACAAATTATGTTCCATCTCAGGTACACAAAGCACATTGGTAAACTTTGATTCCAAATATGGAATTTTTACATCGCCTTTTCCGATGACTTTTGCTTTCTGGCCATTTGCCAAAGCCACAGCTTCTTGTGCTACTGGAACTAACCTGCAAAATAATTCAGAGTCATTAACAATTGTTTGACTTGCCCCACTATCTATTAGCCACTTGTCTCTGTTATTGCTATAACAAACTTTTGCAACAACAAAATGTTCCTTTTGCAAATCAGTCTTTTTTGCTTGCACAAATGTCCTTTGCTGCAAATTGTTCCTCTGCAAACAGTTTCTTTTCAGATGTGTGTTTGCTCCACAAATGTAGCAATTCTTTTCTTGCTAGCTCTCTGCTTGCAAAATCTCTCTTTTGATGCAACTTGGTCCCATCTGCTCCTTGTTTCTTCTCTGGAGACTTGCAGTCTGGACCCCCTCCTCAGGAATTTCACCTCCTCATGGCTGTTCCTAAAATGTTGCTTTTCTTCTTCATTAAGCAAACATGCCTTTAAAGCCTCAAAATTTAAGTCTTGCTTTTCTTTACACTCAAATATTGCAGAAAATGTCTCCCAGGTTTTATCTAAACTGTTCAACACCAATAAAACCTTCTGGGACTCAAGGAATTTAGTCCATGTTGTTCTAAGTCCAAAAATAAACTTTGCATTTTATTTAAATGCTGTTCCACAGATTCACCTGGTTGCAAACAGGCCCTGTAAAGTTTTCTTGACAATTGCACTATATTGCATGCAGAAACATTCACGTGCATAGCTCTCAACTTCAACCAAATCTCCTTTGCAGTCTTTAAATTTGCAACATTTAGAAATTGTTCATCATCTAAATTCAAGATGAGATAAGCCATTGCTTGATCATGACTTTTCTGATCAGCAGCTGCAAACATTTGTGGTGGATTTTCTACGATATACCACAGCTCTTTAGCCTTGAGCAAACATTCCATTTTAGCAGCCCACACAATGTAATTCTTCTGGCCCAAACAAGGCACAGAGCTTTCCTTAAATTCCATTGCAGCCATTCTGCTAATTCTGCCTTGTTCTTATACTTTTTAAACACAGGCAATTTCTTCCAGCTTTAAATTACAATGCAGTTCTTAGAAAACTCTGGGCCCATAAACTTTTAGACAATTTTAATTTTTCTTTTGCTGAAAATATAAATAAATCAGAAGCTCTCACAGTTGACTGCATTTAGCTGATTCATAATAACTTCTTTATATTTATATCAAAATATTTACAATACCATACATTCTTCTTTACAGCAAAATAGATTAATGAAGACTTCTTACAGAGAGACACAGAGACAAAGCTGAGACTAAAAATCCAGCTTCTAACTCAATACCCTTTTGCACAGACTCAGAAGCACTTTCTTCACATTGGCTGACTGAGTTACCACATGACTCTTCCTGCTCATGAATATTCCAACAGAAACAAATAGAATACAAATTCTATTGATGTCTAGAAAATAAGTCTTCATATGAATAAATATGAATCCAGTCCCTTGTAATTTTGCTTGTACTGACTGTTTGGAACTTTGCAACTTTGTGAACAGAAGAGAATTCTAAGAGCAGTGCTATTGAGCTTAGTTTTGCTAGAATGGGGTAATATATATAAGCTAGCTGTTTGTAATATATGCTTTTTTAACAAATGTATTTTTAGTGGAAATGAGTGATTCTTAAGGAAAACAAAAACCCTAGATAGACAGGAATAATAGATTTCTTCATTTAGTCCTGAAGCTAACTAATAATAATTTACTTCATTTCTTTTTCCTCTAAAAGGGATTCAAGCAATAATTTTAGGCTATCATTTTGCATATCAATCTCCTATTCTAGAAATTTCTATAGCAATTCTTGAGAATATCCATGTCCTAGTGTAAGGACAATGGACAAAAAATATTTTTTCTTCCTAGACACTTTGGGATATAGCTTATGGATTCATGAAAATAACTTGTAACCTATCATATACTGTTTTATAAAAATCTTCTGTTTTTATACAATGCAGACCCTCAAGTACCTGTTGGTAATCTGCACACATTGAAAAGGAAACGCATATTAAACATGGAATTTGTTATAATACCTGGATGTTGTGCAACTGGATTTGGGGGACTAGGCTGAGGGGCAGCATATATTTGGATTACCTAGCTTTACATATCTTGAATTTTTGTCTTGTAAGGGCTGACACTTCCCCAAATGGTACATAGCTTGGGGGCATCTTGGACTGCCAGTTCTGCTCAAAGACCAGATAGTAGCTGTGTCCAAGTGGACCTTTGCACAAATACTTCTTGTTCCATTTCCTGGACCAGGATGCCCTTCAGATAGTTACACATGTTCTAATCATCTCATGAATGGATTACTCAAGGTAAATATACATGGGGCTATTCTTGAAGACCACTCAAAAGCTACTGCTAATCCAGAATTTAGAGTTACAGGAAGTCTCATGATGTCCATGTGACTCCACTTCTCTTTATGCTGCAGTGGTTACCAATTGGTCTTTGGGTGCAATTCAAAGTGCTGTTAATCAGAGACCAGGTGTGGCTCAGCATGAACAAAAAGACAGAATTCAGATTTTCTCTCTAAGTCACACATTTATTCAGTGCTGGACAAAGATGGGTTCTCTCATAAAACTGGAAGAATCCCAAATGCAATTGTAAGCAAGCATATATAGATTTCTTAGTTTTACTTAGTTATATAATAGAAACACTTGCTTACAAGAGAAAAAGTACAAAAGTTACAAAAATACTTATGTATGCATCCTGTAGTTATGATCCTGTAGTTCATCTGTAAGCTTGTCATTTCTTTATCAAGGTTTCCATAACTTGAAGCCTGAATTTTATTTCTGTCATTTCAATACAAGAATCCTTAAACCAATTATCAGAATTATCAGAATCCTAATCAACAGTGCTGTTTAACACCTAGGTCCTTCATAGCATAGACACTGGTTATATAACAGAACATCTTTCTGTAGTTGTTTCTGCTCTGGGTCCCATTGTTTAAGCATTGACATCATGTAGGATCCAGAAAACATGCCTTCTCCCTTAAAACAGATGACTTTAGGAATGATTTATACCCAGAGATCAAGATGGCTCCTATATTGATCATATTCAAAAAACTATTAAATACTCTCCCAGGCTCTGGGTAAAGTGAAGGTTGAGCCACTGTTGGATGGATTAATTTGGTTGTATGTTGTTTCTGATGCCATTCATAATTTTTCCTTGTGTTTTGTACCAATTTGCCTGTTAAATTTTGCAATCTGAAGTATGTTGCTGTCTTAATTTTATTGGTTGCTGGAGAAACATAAAACTTTATTTAAAGTTCCAAAATTTTATTTGTGTATATATGTATTTGTGTTATCAATTAAACTTTGCAAACACACATATGTATGTGTGCATGTATATTTTCTGGTTAAAATTTGCCAAGAAACACATCTTTAACTTTCAGAAAAAGTAAAGCTAGGATTTAAAATATTGCTGTTTTTCTTTCATTTAAAAAAACTGATAAAAAAATCTCCACAAAAATAAAACCTTTTAGAAAAGGCAAAAAAGTCACTGTGTAAAAAAAAAAGGATTCTCCCCATTTAAGTTGCCTATTTAAATAAAAAAATAGATAAATAAATAAATAAATAAAATTAAAATTAAAGTTATTAGACTTACCAATTTCATAATGTACAAAACAGGATTTATTTGCAAACTACAATGAAACTTGGGGATCCATTAATTATTCTCTTTAATTAGTTTTGATTTGAATGCATATAGGATTAGGGCTAAGATTAAGTTCACATTCACTCTAAAATTCACTAGAAGCTTTTATTTCTTCTTGAGGGTATTAGGTTAAACATACCATATCCAGTAGGGGTCATGGCCTGATGACAATAACTTCATAAGAGTTTTACTTACTTCGATGATATCACTGATTAAATAAATACATTATTCCCATTAAAATTATGCACTATATCTATATATTCCTGCAAAAATGTGTTTACTTCCATTAAAGGATCAAAAAAGAAAACTATAAAGCCTGTAAAAACATTTCACATTGATCTTTGTACAAATATCAGAATTCTTGTTTTTATTTATCTATTTATTAGATGTTTTTATCTATTTTAACTATTTTTATGAATGATGCAAGCATACCTAATCCTACTTCCTTATTTTTTAGCCACTATAGAAAGGGTAAAAAGCCATTATTCTAATTATTAATATTTTGATAAAAAAGAATTAAATGAAAATGTACCTATTCATTAGAAATTCTGCTTTTCCAGAATTCTGCTTTAGAACATAGTTCGGTTTTGAATCAACTGAGTAGGCTAATTCTCTTTGTGAGTGTTCTCAATCCTTCCTTGAAATCTTTGTTTCTCAGTGAATATATGATTGGATTAGCAACAGGAGTTATCACTGAATAAAGAAGCGAAATTTGTTTGTCTTGGTCTAGAGAGTAGGCTGAAGAGGGCCTGATATAAGTATAGATTACAGAGGAATAAAAAATACTAACTACAATAAAATGTGAGGAACAAGTGGAGAATGCTTTCTTCTTCCCTTCAGTGGAACGGATTCTGCAGATAGCTCTTATTATAAAAAAATATGATGTTAGAGTCAACCCACAACAACCAATCCCAAATATAACATCTGACAAAGATAACATAAACTCATTTAGAGTTATATCTGAGCATGAGAGGTGCAGCAATGGAGGTATGTCACAGAAAAAATGATTGATAATATTGGAGTTACAAAAAAACAACTGCAACATAAGTCCAGAATGTGTAGAGGAATTGACCAATCCTACAACCCACACTCCAATAACTATGGAAGCACATACCTGCTTCCTCATAATCATAGTGTACTGCAAAGGGTGACAGATAGCTGCATAGCGATCAAAAGCCATAACGGAGAGAAGTAAAAGTTCTGTTCCTAAAGCCCATATAAACAGATAGCTCTGTGCAATGCATCCATAAAATGAGATGGTCTTTCTTCCAGTCCAAAGACTATAGAGCAATTTAGGAGTAGTAACTGAAATAGAGAGTACATTCACTAAGGACAAATTGACAATGAAGAAGTACATGGGTGTGTGGAGTTTCCTGAAAGTCCATATGGTCAGGATAAGAATGAAGTTGTCAATGAGGGCTATAGCATAGATGAATATGAATACCCAGAAGAGGGGTTTCTGTATTTCAGTTGTTGCAGATAGCCCAACCAGGATAAACTCCAATATGACACTCTTGTTCTTTATTTCAATATTATTGTAGCTGCTATCCTAAAAAGACACATTTTACTGTAATAATCAACATAGTTGCATAATTCAATAATTTATCTTGCTATTCTTCAGTTCCTCTCTCCCTCCCTAATTCTCTATCAGAAAATTGAAATCTGATATCTGATTATGTAGTTATTTTCAGATTAGTTTACAATAGTGATGAACCTGGATCTTTCTGATCATTAACAGAAGCTTTTTGGTTCTGGTAGTATCAGTGGTAATCAACAGAACTGAAATCCACTAAATTCTTAATGGGTTTTTTAAAAAGTGTTTCTAATACATTTTTGGAATATGGAATAATAAATAAACAAAAACTTTAGTGATAAGGTGAGGTGTCTAATACCACTTACCATTTGTAACATAACATTTCAGCTGTTCTACACTAAAAATGTATCTACATATTAAGGTGCTAAATTTCTTAACTACCTCCTCTCTTTTTTTTCTCATGTATAGACAAGAAAACTGTGGTGTTATACAGTATAGAATCTTATGAACTGTTCATTTATGTTTTGACATTATATGACAATTCTACCTTTTTAATTTATTAATACTGTTTAGTTCAATATTGTGCAAAAAAGAAGGAAGATGAAAAAGTTAAGCTATGATATGAAGTAAAATGATTGCCTCCATCTATATTTATTCTTGTGGATTTTTGATGGAAGCTCTTTCTTATGATGAAAGCTCCATCTTATAATTTAGGGCAGGTATGTCAAACTTGCGACATCAAGTGACATCACACGACATATCGAAGCTTTTTCCCCATTGCTGGCAATGGGGTGGGCACGGTTTCCTTGTGACACATCTGGCCTGCGGGCCAGCAGTTTGACACCCCTGATTTAGGGGTATGCTTATTTGTTTGATTTTTCCTATATTGACATTTGGAAGATACAATTGCTTTCTATGAATGCGAATGGAGGATTATATTAATGTGGACATTTCTAAATACTTAGTGAAATAAAGTGATTATACCTCTAGAAGACAGACCATTAAAGAATCCTGGGAGTTGAAGTCCACACATCTTAAAGCTGACAAGCTTGAGAAGCACTGATCTAAATAATATTTGTTTCGGTGTGTGTGTGTGTGTGTGTGTGTGTGTGTGTGTGTGTGTGTGTATTATTAAGAATATTAAAAACAAAACAGTGATTCCTGGGTAGACTCATATTAAACAATAAAATATACGAACACCAGGAAGTTATAAAACTATAAAAAGTTTTAATAAAACCAGAATAAAACCAAGCTTTCGCTGGCATCTGCCAGCATCATCAGGGTAGTCTCTTTCACTCAGATTTGCATATAATTGCATGCTAGTCTTAATAACTCAGTACAAGGATTCAAATGGATTCTTCAGTTTTCTACTGCTGATAACAAACACCTGTATGAAGCAAAGAAACTCCGTGCTTTCAAAAGGAAAGACAAGGGGCTGTATTCTTTTTGTTTCACCTCACTTAGAGACTGTCTCCATATCTTCAAGTGACAATTCAAGGTGAAGTTCTGAAAGAAGAACATGCATTGAAGCATTTCCAATTGTGGAAATGCTTCAAAGTTCTCAAGGTGACTCAAGTTACCATGAAAAGGCAAATTGCTAGCAAGTTCCCAATATTTATTGCTATGGACTAGAAATAGATCCATTTTGATAAAGTAGGTAACTATAATATGTCAGATTTTGCTTAGTTATGAAATTAATGATTCCTAACAAATATCCCTAAATAAATTTCATTGTTGTTATTCAGTCATGTCCGATTCTTGGCGACTGCCTGGACAAGTCCCTGCAGTCTTTTTTGCAAGGTTTTTCAGAAGCCTGCCTCCTTCCTAAGGCTGATAGAAAGCAACTGGCTGAACGTGACTCAACTAGCTTTGGGCTTAAGGCAGGACTAGAACTCATGGTCTCCTGATTTCTAGTCTGATGTTTTATCCACTATACCAAGCTGACTCTCATGATTTCAACAGGTTCACTTTATTTTCAAATCTAGATGCCAGTGAAATAATTTTGTCCACCATTACTGTATATAGCAAAGGCCTTAAAACTCTTTGATGCTTCATATATGAATTATGGAACTACTTGGAATGAAGGAAAATAATTATATGAAATACTTGCCTTCATATTGTTGAAAGTTGTGGAATTTTCCCATATGTGAGTTTACAATTAATGTCAGCATAGCATCTGGCAAGGTTCAGTTCCTAATCATTTCTACATCATAATGGCCTTTGATAATTGGCTTGCCCTGTTATAAACTTTGCTTGTGGATCAAGCCAATGATGAGTGGAAACTTGCATTATATAAGTCAGGATGCCAATGGGAGTGTTATCTCTGGAGCTTCATCATAATTGTTCCAATTTGCAGAATTTCCTGATGCAATTATATTAATGAATCATTATTTTGGACAATTCTGTTGTGGGTTTTTTTCTTTTAAGGTAGATGAAATTCTGTTGCAACGTAGTCATGTTTATATTATATTTATGGAAATAAAGAGAACTCAAGTCCTATAGATGGCAATAATCTATTCTTCGTATGACTAATTTGAATCCAACTCTTTTTAATATTGTGTGCATTGGCTGTAGGTATTTCTAAATCCTTGAAGAGAAGGAAATGCTAGGAGTGGTGTTACTCAACTTAGTTTCTCTGGAATGAGACAGCATTTCCAAATAATCAGCTTATTTAGAAAACCTACTTGCTTTACAGACATAAACCCAGAGCAAATATGCAGAAATAATGTATTTCTATTCCACCCAATTAGACTTATAGACAGAGAACATGTTTTAATTTTGAAGCAAGTTTTTGTTATATTTTTTCCTTGAAAGATAAGCTAAAAGTCCCTGTTCCTAATCACCTCCAATCTTCACTAATGCCATGTTTACCCTTGAAAAGTATTAGAAGTTTCAATTGGTTCAAAATATGGCAGCCTGCTTGGTTTTGTGCAAGTCTAGATTTGCACATGTATCATTTGTCTTGCAAGAACTGAATTGGCTGTCAATTTATTTCTGGGTCTAATTCAAGTTGTTAGTTGTCATTTTTAAAGCCCTTTATGGCTTGAGACCAAGTTACTTGAAGGACTGTCATCTCTCAGTTATATCTACCCAATCCAGCAGAGTAGGAAGGCAGAATATGTTATCAGCTCCCTTCTCTAGGATAAAAAAGAAGAACATTCTCCATAGTGGCTCCCCCCCTTGTATAACATCATTCCTGCAAAAATGAGATTGTCCCCCACTTTGATACTTTGTCAATGGGTCTGGGATGGAGCCTGCCCAATGATTTTCTGTGTTAGGGACTTATACTTATGTAACATCTCTCTCTCTCTCTCTCTCTCTCTCTCTCTCTCTCTCTCTCTCTCTCCCTCTCCCTCTCCCTCTCCCTCTCCCTCTCCCTCTCCCTCTAACACTGGGACATTATGTCAAATGGATAGAATCAGTGCAATTTGGTCTAGTGATTATCACAATTTTCTAATAGTTATAAACATAACTACATATTTAATAATTAAAATAAAAAAGAGTATTCAGAATTAAAACATATGAAATATTATTCAGTTGCTTTTACTGAAAAAATGCAAAAAAAAAAAATTCTCCCTCTAAGTTTAGCTTTTTGCCAGTTGCCACACTGGTCCTGGGAGGAAGATCTTCTTTCATGTTTGAAGTTGCCACTGAAAACTTCAGTTTGAGGATCACTATCTGATAAGCTATTTTTATTTCCTGTAACAGCCTTAGAAAGCAACACTCATTACAACTGTGTGAATTTAAAAGACAAATTTCCTTGAGAGAGCCACTTGACAAGGGTTCCAGGAATCAATGACTATGCTTCCTAAGCACATCATTAGCTGCTTTGAATAAAAAATTAAAATGCACATATACAATATATCATGCATACTGCTTGCATTATTCCCTTTCTGGATAAAACTAATATTATGTGCAGCAAAGTGAAAGAGAAAAAAAAAATAAATAAAAACAAAAAGTTAAAATAAACTGAGTAAAAAGAAGAGGAAAGCAAACCATGTCATCATTAACAATTGTTGTTTTTAATAATTAATGTTTTCTATATTTATTGTTTTTTAAAGTATTGTACAATGCCTAGAATCAAACAAATAACCCAATTTTCACTAACCACCACTCATTAATTTGCTATATACTCCATATATCTTGTCCTTGAAAACTATATTTTCTTTCACATTGCTATCTCTGTTTTATCCATTGCCTTATGGTCTTTCACTTCAAAGAAACCTCTTTCTTTCTACAGATCTTGATCTAACTCATAAACTTCTCAACTTAATTATTTAGTGTATTGTAATATCAATACAGTACTATTAAATGTTTTATCTGAATTTGTCTCCCTTTTTTTAAATCATGATTTGATTAATCTCAAATTTCAGTCACATGATCTCAAGGTGTTGCTGAAATATAACTAAGTTATGGCCTACCAGCTTGAAGGGAGTTTCCTATCCTTGAAATAAAGGAAGATAGTATAAAGAGCTTGGTAAAAAATATTATCTCTGTACATATACATTTATGTTTTATAAGAAATAAATATTGTAGGAGAAAAAAAGAGATGTGAAGATAAATTCTCAGTTGATTTTTGATCATTTTATAAAACAGGTGTCTTGTGTGTTTTTGCTTTTTATGAATATCCAGGAAGACTAGATTTACTTAATATTAGCAAGATTATACTGAAGTTATTGTTTGAATACTTAAATTTGTTATATTATAACTTGACTCCTGCAACATGCAAAAATTGAAAACTGTTCAGAAATCCAAGATGTTTGCAAAAAGATTTACAATGTTGGCATGACATGTTGAAAGATTTGCTTTAATGCTTAACCACTGAGATATTGATATTAAATTTACTAATGCGAGGTATATTTGACATAGTTGCATATGTATGAACTTTGCTCCGGAGTGAAGACTCTGGTGTGTGTGTGTGTATGTGTGTGTGTGTGTGTGTATACACACACACACACACACACACATTTATGATATACAATTAGAGAACACAAATAATGAAAAAAGGTTTATTTAAGAGAAAGTGTTGACTTTTTGTCTACTAGATTTTTTCTCCAGATTAATATTTTAAAGTATAGGTCAACTGAGCAGCCTAATTCGCCCTATAAGTGCTTTTAGTCCTTCTATAAAATCTTTGTTTCTCAATGAATATATTATTGGATTAACAATTGGAGTTATCACTGTATAAAGAAGAGAAATTAGCTTGTCCTGATCAAGAGTGTAGACTGAGGAGGGCCTGATATATGTATAGATGACTGACGAAAAGAAAATACTGACTACAATGAAGTGTGAAGAACATGTGGAGAAGGCTTTCTTCTTCCCTTCAGTGGAACGCAATAAGCAAATTGTTTTTAATATAAAAAAATAGGATGTGAAAGTTAGTCCACAACTGCAAATCCCAAATATCACATCTGAAATAAATTCCATAGTTTCATTTGGATTTTTATCTGAACATGAGAGTTGCAATAAAGGGGGTATATCACAGAAGAAGTGATTGATAATATTGGAGTTACAAAAAGAGAGCTTTAACATAAGTCCAGCATGGATTCCAGAATTGATCATTCCAAAAATCCATACAATACTGGTTATGCCCAAACACACTTCCTTCCTCATAATAATAGTATACTGCAAAGGGTGACAGATAGCAGCATAGCGATCAAAAGCCATAAAGGAGAGAAGTAAAAGTTCTGTTCCCAAAGCCCAGATAAACAGATAGACTTGTGCAATGCATCCATAAAATGAGATGGTCTTTCTTCCAGTCAAAAGATTGTGCAGTAATTTAGGGATGGTAACTGAAATGGATAATACATTCACTAAAGACAAATTGACAGTGAGGAAATACATAGGGGTGTGGAGTTTTCTGTAACAGTATATGGTAAGAATGAGGAAGAAGTTGGCAGTTAGAGCCATAGCATAGATGACAATGAATACCCAGAAGAGAAGGGTCTGCATTTCAGTCGTTGTAGATAGCCCAACAAGAATAAACTCCAGAATGGCAGTCTTGTTCTTTATGTCAGTGTTGTTGATGCTAGTATGCTAGAGAGATACATGGTTTTGTATTAAAATATATATAAGTATCAAATTAAATATCAATTTTAGTATGCATTTTATATTTTTACTTATTCATTCATATGTTTATAGGAAAAAAATCTACAACTGTTACTAATAATAAAGGAGATGATGGAATGTTATAACATAGAATAAAATAAAATGATTACCGCCATCCCCGTTGTTTTTAAATGTTCTCAATAGAGAGCTTATTCTCTTGCCTGTGACTGAGACACGTACTTGGCTGCTTGATATTTCTTGGGCTGGTATCTGGTTTTTCCTCCCAACAATTTAATGAGTTATGATCTCAATGAATGTACATCATTACTGTAAAATCTTCATTAATTAAAATAATAAAACCACTAGGAGGGAGACCTCAGAGGCATTACCTAGGTGATATCTATTAATCATCACCAGGAAAAAAACAAAATAGTCACATTAAGAATTGAGAACCTAATGCTGACTTTGCACTTTTATTTTATTCATGTTAGCATGTAAATCATGTTACATTTATTACAGGGCTGACGCTACAAATTTTGTGAGAAAACGTGATTCCAATTTTTGGCATTTTTTCTTCAGAATAATCCTGGAGTGTGAAATGTGTTTCCATATCATCTGTACACCTCATGTTATCTGATTTTCACAAATTACATTTGCCCCAGAATTCATTTCATCAAACTAGATAGGTTTTTGTCTGTAAGGCTTCCCATAGTTCCACTCATATAATCTCCCATTTATTTACTTTATTTTATTCATTTCATTTCACTTCATTTCAGTTCAGTTTCCCCTTCACTTCATTTTATTTTATATTTTATTTTATTATTATTTTTTGTAAAATTTATTGGCTGTTCATCTTATCTCAGGCTATATCTGGGCAGCTTACAACTCAACTCTATTTGCCAGCATCCTAAAATGCACCATAGTTTTTGATTGGATGAAATAAACATTTTATTTTATATATTCATTCATTATGGCTATGGAAATTATGTAGAACTAAATGGGGACTTTAGAATTTAAAATACTTTGTTATTTTATGCCCAGTGTTCTGAGATTCTTTATGCAGAAATAAAATTACTTCTTCAAACAATATTTCTTTACTTATTTAGAATCCATCTTTCTGTTTAAAATGCACATTTAAACCAAGTTACAAAATAAATCAAACTAAAACATAAAACATGGAAAGAGAAAGAATAAATATAGTTAAAATACAATTAGGAGCACGTTTTGCATTAAGATCTGGCTAAAAAGATGAGACTTAAATCTTCTTTTCAAGATAGAGATTGAAAGCCAAACATAATTCATAAGGATTACAGTACATGACAAAGCCTATATTAAATGCAGTAGTAGACACTATCCAATGTGTCCAGTGAAGAGGATATAGAAAGTTTGTTAATATTTTTGATAAGATGTCTTAATAAATGGAAATGTGAAAAATCAATTTCAGAATTAAATAGAGATAAATTTGGAAACATTTTTATCATTTAACATCAATAAAAGTGATCCTAGGGTCTTTTTTTCTAATATAAACTCATCTAGAATTATTTTATTATTCATTTATGATGCAATTGCAGGATTATACTGCTGTTCTTGTCTAAAAATTCATGGTTATCTTAAATTATGACTCTTCTACAGCAATATAAGAAATATGTTCAAAATCGCTAGGTCTGTTTGCAAAGTGGTAGATCAGCTTATATTAGTACATAGTCTGAAAAATTCCTTCTCTTCCTTTGTAAGAACTGAATTAATGGTCAACTTTTGGCAAGTTGATGTTAACCTCTTTAAGGGTAGCTTATCATATTATGAATTTCTATAGAATTATTCTGGTTTCAGAAACCCATTAGGTATCAAATTAGTACAAGCTATGGCATGTATTTCCTCAGGAACTCTTCTGGCCACCAGTTTCTTGTCTGCTGAAATCCATATAAAACAGATCTTTTTAGTAGGCATTAAAGGAAAACAGTTTGCCTATTTATGATTCTTTCCCCTTGTTTGTATATTAACTCTTTTTCTTTTACTTTGAAAATCAGCTGAGATATGCTTTTTAAATACAATGACAGGATGTGAATTGACTCAATAAATAAATTCCATTCAAAGAAATAGCTTTATTTGTATACATGCTGGAAAAATCTCTGATCATCTGATAATGTATAATGAATGCCACATAAATAAAATATAGTATGTCAAAGTATGAAGGGAAAATTAGGTTGTTTTTTTTTGCACACAATAAATACTTGAGTCTAATGCATATAATTATACATACTGTAATATAAAACATGAGGATACCATGCAGCATCCTGCATGCTGCTACCATGACTCAAAAGACATAATCTGATTAGCATTTTCATAACCAATAAAACTCTCAGTAGAAGAATAAATAATAAAACACTAGGCAGAGATGGTTATACATGGTTTGGCCCCAGTGTGAGTCAGGCTTCTGTCCTGAGTGATGTCATTTGTCATTGGGAGCAGGCTTATCAAGAGTGCAATTCACCTAGATCATTAGCAAGTGAGGAAAGATATGGATTGTTTATCTGCTCATATAATTTTTTTCACATACTTCTCTATCTGTTCCTATTTATCTAATTTCCTACTTCATTTAATATTTTTATTCTCTAACTCTTTAGGTAGTAAACTATATATATTATTATTATTAATTTCTTGGAAACATTCTACCTCTTCCAATAAAATCTTTGAGAGCTTCTTTTACTTCTTTATTTCTTAGTGAATATATGACTGGATTAAGAACTGGGGTTACTACTGAATAAAGGAGAGAAATATATTTGTCTCTGTTTAAAGAATAGACTGAAGTGGGCCTGATATATGTGTAGATGACTGCTGAAAAGTAAAAAATAACTACAATAAGATGGGAGGAACAGGTGGAGAACGCTTTCTTCTTCCCTTCAGTGGAACGAATTCTGAAGATGGCCCTTATAATAAATCCATATAATGTCAGGATTAGTCCACAACTGAAAACAGCAAAAATTACATCTGCCACAAAAGCCATTGTTTCATTCAAGCTGGTGTCTGAGCATGATAACTTCAAAAGTGGAGGCAGATCACAGAAGAAATGATTGATAATATTGGATCCACAGAAGGATAGCTGTAAGACAAGTAGTCCTGAGTGAACTGCAGAATTTGTCAATCCTGAAACCCATGCTCCAACAGTTATTGCAGCACACAGTTCCTTCCTCATGATCAGAGTATATTGCAATGGGTAACAGATAGCAACAAAACGATCAAAAGCCGTACTAGTGAGCAGCAGAATTTCTGTCACCAGGAACAATATGAAAAAATAGACCTGAGTGATGCAGCCATAAAATGTGATGGTGTTTCTGTATGAGAAAAGAGTGTGCAGCAATTTGGGAGTTGTGGTTGTGATGGAGAGCACATTTACTAAGGACAGATTGGCAAGGAGGAAATACATTGAAGTGTAAAGTTTTTTAGAAGTGCATATGATAAATATAAGAAGGAAGTTACCTACCAGAGCCATAACATAACTAAATACGAATGACCAGAATAAAATTCTCTGTATTTCAGGAGAACGTGTTAAGCCTAATAACTCAAATTCCCTGATAGCTGAATTGTTCTTTCTTTCAAAGCCTTTGACAACCTACACAAACAAATTATATTTGTGAATTAGTTATCATGATACCCCTCCAAGCTCTCCCGATATACTCCTCTACAATAAATAAAGAAAAATAAGATACAAATGAACATTAATTAGACATTAGAATACTATGAAACATTATAAAATATTCTCATAACTGTATACATGAAGGAAACATAGTTCCCACTTCCCACCACATTTTCATTATCTAAAAGAAGGAGAAGGAGAAAGAGAAGAAGGAGAAAAAAGATGGGGAGGGGATTATGGACTACATCTAAACCACTTTTTTTATTTAACTTCAAGCTTGCCAAGAACCAGTAACAAGATAGAAACAGAGAAAAATTGAGATGTTTGCCAGTTCTCTTCTAAATTGGAGAAATTCTTCTATCAGGAAAGAAAAGTCTCTCTGAATCAAAGGCAGAAATGTATGAAATAATAAAAGGATAGTTTTCTTACCTCTCTCTCCACCTCTCTCCCTTACAGTGTATTAAAAGCAAATTCCTTTATCTAGTAATTTACATTTAATTCTGAATACATTGTCATGGAATTACTTTGTAAGCCTTAATTGATATCTAAAATAGTTCAAAGGAATACTTCAATTTCCTACATGTTAGAAGAAAGTATTGCTCCCACTTTCTGCTTACCTCTAAATGCAAAGAGAGTTGATGCATTGCTTTCCCCCCCTTCATGCCAGAGCAGCTTTAACCAGCTCCCAAAGGATATCCTGGAACAGGAAAATTCATCAAACCATCTTCAAGTTATTGAAAGTACTGTCTATGCTTGAAAAGTAGATATGAAACATTGGATATGACATGGGTGGCAAATAAATTTCATAAATAAAATAAATAAGTTAGTGACCCCAGGTTCCAGGAAAAGCCAAGTAAATGGTTCCAGGAAAAGCCAAGTAAGCATCACACATGTTCGGTACTTAGAATTATCAGCTGGATATAAATGCTAAATGTAGTTTGAAAAAAATCATACTTACAATCTTGATAACAGCAATAGTAATAACAAATGGGATTACAATTAGCTATACAGATCCAACTAATCACATGATTACAATTGTTTAACCCAAAGATCCTTTCCACAAGGCAATTGGATTTTCTTGTTTTTCTCTGAAGATGTTTCGCTTCTCATCCAAGAAGCTTTTTCAGCTCTCATCCAACATCTTCAAAGAAAAACAAGGAAGTCCAGTTGCCTTGTGAAAAAGTGTCTTTGGGATAACTATGACCTGGATGACTGAGAATCTCCATATACAATTGTTTAAGTTGGCAAATTCTAGATCAAGATCAAATTCCAATGATATATTTGTGTTCCCCAATATCATTACCACTATTATAGCCCTTAAAATTATTTGAAATTTCAGGGAAATATGGAAGAATAAGATTAAATTAAATATTGCATTCATAGCTATTATTTCCCCCCTCCTTGAAGGTTGAAGGATTTTTTTTTTAGTTTTACACCTGGTAAGGATCAGTTCCTCTTCCTTTCTATTATCACAATGGCTACTGACAACTGGTTTGCTTCAGTTATAAGCATTATCTGGGAACCAAGCCAGGTTTATTGAGTGGTTTCCTGTTATAAAGTGATGGGGCTGTTGAGAAAAATACCTTTGAGACATCATTATCATTGCTTTCCAAATACCTTCCTGGTAAATGTTAGATTTAGAATAAAGGCTGAATGAATGAATGAATGAATCAATCAATCAATCAATCACATATGTAAAAAGGAAATCTATAACATTCTATAATATAATAAATTATTTGACTTCTCTTTCTGGCTTTGCCTTATGGCATTTGGACATCACTGAGGATCTCAGTGCAGGCAATTATTTAGGTTACTTTTAAGAGCAAGATTACAGCATAGTCATTTTCTGATTGCTCATGCCTATGTTAAATCATAATTTGATGAAAATTTGATTTCAAAATTCAGTTATAAAATCTCAATATGTAGCAAGGTACACATCTGACCATTGAACTTACTGGAAAACTGAAGTTTGTTCAGGGACACTGGTAATATTCTCATATGAGAGGCAGTTATGTATTTAATATTCCAAACATATGAATGTAGGTTTTCGAAACTCAATCAATAGGTAGGACATCTGGAATCATTTAATATAAACAAAATTTGTCTCTGTGCTTTCCTGTTCTTATGAAAGCCCATGTAGAATTTCTTTAAATTACACATTTTTGATAATAGCAGGCTATACCTGCAAGATTCTGTTACTGTAACCTTATAATAAAGGTAGTATTAGAAATCATTGTTCATGCTTCTTCTCTGGACTAACTCAAAGGACTAACCATATGTTTTTATTGATTTTTTTTTTTTTTGCTTTTGTATGCTACCCAGAAGTGACTAAATTTGGGCAGCTAATAAATTCAAAAATAAATGAATAGGCATTGGTTAATTTTCAGCACATTGACATTAACTTGTGAAAAGATGGGGGATGGAGAGGAACCCAATCCAGAAACCTCTCTTCAGTGGCAAAAACTGCCAGTCTATCAGCTGCAAGAGTGGCAGTGTTCTACCCAGTGAATGTAATAGAAAGAAGAAAGAATTAGGGCATAGGAGATCAGTCTGAGTGAACACAGCTACTGGGAGCATCCTTGTTTCTCTCTTTGGGGCTTGAACAAATATTGCTTTATAATTGGAAGCATCCAATTATGGATTCTTCTGAAGTCCCCAAAGTGCTTCTCCTAGGTGCAGTATCAGTTTATGAGAATAAAGATTTATCACCTGGAACCTGGTTTGTTGTGGAAATAAGGGTGCCTACCACAGAACCAGTCTTTTCCATCAGACTTGATGAAACGTGATTGCTTCCAGTGTTCTGCAGCTGATAAATGCCAAACCATAATATCTTTCCATCCAACAGAAGAGTAAAATTAAGTAAGAACAAAGAAAACTAAAAATGCAGGTAAATATCTTCAATATTAGGTGTACTATTAACTGAATTTTACATAGATGTTCTTTCCTCCACATTTTAGCTGCACTTTTTACTAAAACACTCTGATTCTAATACTTTGGGACTCACACAAATTGTCATGTTTTCTAATAGAAATATAACACAGTTAGATACATTCTATTAAATGAGATTAGATCAGATCAGCAACCTAACTAACTGTGGCTTCTGAATATTTTTAGATTTTACTAAATTTTAAGTTATGTTAAAAACACTAATCATAGTTTTTTATATAATGTCAGACAAAGTAGAGAAGGTGCTCCAAATGATGTTTTCTACTTATATCTTGAATTTATTCTATGTGACATGAATAAAGTATAATACAAACTGCTTCTGTATTATATGAATTTAAATAATTGGGACACAAACAGCTAGAATAGGGTAAGCAATAGTTTTGAAATATGCTTTGTAGTATCTCAGCATAGCACCAGCTGAGACCACAGACAAGTGAAGAGGATAGCAACTGTCATTCAAGAGTCCTATTTCACAAGTTGTTGGTTGTGGTTTCCTAATTCTGAAGATGGGCTTGTGGGAGCAGTTGGGGTTAATGCTAATGCATCAATCTCCCTGCTATACAGCAATCTCCCTCCCTGAACTGCTGGAGACCCTCTTAAAATTGTCTTAAGAGTTGCCCAAAAGTATATCCTGGAGTACTTCAATTTGTCATCCTGAGGGCTGGTTTGGAAGCATCTTATGAGATTATAGCCATCACTGAGGCTATGGGCCTGACTCAAAACAGAGGACATACACCAGACATAGTTTCTTTGTCAGAGCAGAGGCAATGTGATCTCAAGGAAGAGCCTTTTTACCCCTTTTGTCATGATTATATCACACTCTGTTGATCTTAACATTTTCCTATCTTACCCTTTTCTAGAGGGAGGCAGGGCCTATTCAGTTGTCTTGCCCCAGTGATTGCAGTGTTCTAAAGGGAATTGGCAACTGCTTCAAAGATTAAGTTGTAGAGTTCAGACAAGGCCAGGAATATAGAAATGACAGGAGCATAGGACAGGACTATGAACATGTGACTTCCCCTTGGCTCATCACTCCTGGCACACCCTTTAGATGTCATATCATGGTGCTTGGATATAATTTTTGAAAAAGCTAATAAGGCTCAAGAGAGCTCTAGAGTACTGCTAAAGGAAGACAAAGGATGAATCTGACTGATCATGAGCTAGAGCCATTATTAAGGTTTACCTTGTGGTGGTAAAAAACATGATACCTCAATAATTCTCTGTTCTTATTGTATCCATAGGGTTGCCCTACTTAGGATTACCTATTCTATTCTGTGTAAAGGTAACTATGAGATCCATTTTTAATGTTGCACCAAGAAATTTTGGTGGATAAAATGGGAATGGAAGGTTTCTTGGAACTATAAACACAGATATCTGTGAATTATATTATATCTTTGTCCCCCTTGTTAATCAAGGGCACCTAAGTGGTGACATATTGATGGGTCCAAGTAATAGTCAATTCATCTTTTAGCAAGAGAGTGTTCCTAGCACCATTGTAACAGACAGTGTGCTGGCTCTCAGCAGCTTTTGATACCATTAGCCAGGGTATAAAGTACTTTTGGTCAGCTTCTGGAGTAAGAGGTCCAGCTTGTGGCCCCTGCTTTTCTTGGATGATGCAGGACTTTGGGCTCTTCCTTCTTATTTTTAACAATTACATGAAACCACTGAGTGAGATTTATTATTAGAGGATTAGGTATCATTAGCATGTACATGTTCATCCTGGTCAAAGTAGATGATTATTTGGATGTCATATCATGGTGCTTGGAAGCTATGGCAGACTAAATAACTTTAACTGAACCCTAATAAGATGGAGGAGCTCTGGGTAGGAGACTTTTCTGCATCTGGAAGTTTTCCATCTTTAGTCTTCAATGAAGGTGCACTGCTCCAGATACACCTGATGCATAATCTGGGAGACCTCCCAGACCTGTGACTCATGCTTGAGTAACAGGTGATAGTGGTGGCTAGAGAGCTTTTGTTCAACTTCAAGTTGTATGGCAGATCAAGTGTTACTGAATCAAGAAATCCTCCTTTCTGTCACTCATTCTTTCATTATCTATCAGATGGACTACTGCAATGGGCTTTATATAAGACTAATATTGAAGGGTATGACGAAGCTGCAACTGGTGCAGAATGCAGCAGCATGATCAGTCCTGCAACCCTGGGGTTGTGCACATAGCATCTCTGCAGATTGCTTCCAGATCCAATGGGAGGTGTTTGGTTATTACCTTTAAAGCCCTCCATGGCATGAGGACAGGTTTCCTGAACTGCATCATCAAAATTAACCATCCCACATGGTCAAAAAAGAATGGCATGATGTGGATTTTCATAAAAGAATTTTAACTGGGACTTTTAGAAGGCCTTTTTTGCTATTTGGCACATCTTGCCCACCTTCTGGACTATTAAGATCTGGTTCTGTCAAGTAGTATGTATATCTAAGAGGCTTGTGGATGGTTAGTGCCTTGAAGATATTTTCTCTGCCTTGTTAACTTTTAGCCTTGTTAACTTTATTATTTTTAATAGGAGGAAATGGAGGAGAAAAAAATCCCTGTTGCATGAAGCCCATCCCCCAAGGAAAGGAGTGCTGCCTACTCCATTTTCAGAGCAAAATGAGTTGTAGTCTATCCAAGGTTTGTACACAAAAAGTGGGGGAATCCATGCTGAGGATCTATCTGCCAAATATCATGGAAACTGTTATGTCCTGAGCCTGTGCAAGCAGGCTCGGGGCATTGCAAACGGTCCTGGGCAG